ATTCTCTATTGATTCTGTCCGTTTCTATTTTTAACTGAATCTCATTTATTTGGGAGCAGTGTTAGGCCACCAAATATATTTCATAGCTTTCTTTGCAGCTCGGTATGGCCATATGACCAAATTTTGTTCAGTGGGATATATGAAGAAATGTTAAAGACTTTCAGGAAGTATGCTTATGTGCCTGCCTCATTTTAGAGAGCAAGATAGAGGGTGTCCTTTCTCATTTCAGGTGTCTGGAATGCATCCAACTGAAACCCCTATAGTTGTAGTAGAGCTATGAGGTGACTTCAAGGGTGGAAACCAGACCTAGGAGAGAATGAATGGGAAGGCAGAAGGAGACTGGACCCTTGGCAATTCATGGAGCAGCCATACCATCCGTGGATGGCTCAGCTGTGGTCTTATGTGTGTTGAAGCCATCGTTACTGTATACACTTTTCTGTTACATGCACTGAACCCAAACACATGGATGCACCTGCTTCCAGGGTTGTAAGGATTGAATGACCTAAAGCATGGGAAAGACTTTAATGAGCTGAGATTTCACTTTGAACATTGCAACATGCCATAAACAATAAGGAATTAGTCCTGTTATTATGAGTAAACAGAAGGAACAGGGCTGAACAGGGCCTAAAAGGTTGACTGGGTCAGGAAGTCAGTCACCATGTGGAGATGAGGAGCTGCAGGAAGCAGGATGAGACCTCTGTTAATTTTTCTGATCTTACACTGACTCTGCAAGCAACAGGGGAAGAATGGTTAGAACATGGAGACAGAAGGCCCAGCAGGTTAGAAACAAGAGCCCCATGACTGACCCTCAACATGGAACATTTGGAAAGTTAAACCATGGCAGTTTGGGCAGACCAGTGGTAGCTGAACCATTATTTTCAGAAATCATTTGTTAATTCTGCCCAAAGAGGATTGAGTTCTATAGTTTCCAGCTCCAGCTCCAGCTCCAGGTGAAGAGCCAAGACCAGGTGTCAATATAACTTTTGTGAACAGAATCAAAATGTGGTCTGCTTCCAAATAGGAAGAAGTCACACTTTTGGAGACAAAGTCTTTGACAGGTACCAGAGAAAAATACATGTGAAAAGGCCAACAGAGGCCATAGACGTCCAGATGGCGGATTTTCAGATCCCAAATCCCATTTCTCCTTCATCTTGAACTTCATCAGTAAGTGCATGAGTGATAATTTCATCTTGGCAATAGAAGTGAGAGGAAAATTGAGACCAGGTGTCATATGTGTCATCTTACAAATATACGTCCTTAAAGTTGTTCAGCCAAGTTCTAAATAAATCATGTTCTATCCCAAAGCAGATGATTTACACCTAGGCACAGAAGGTGCTAAGTGTGAGGAAAGAGGCTCATGTTGCAGAAGCAAAACCCACATCTTTTCATAATAATTTGTTCTGTCCGCAAAGCAGGAGCCAAGTTATAAACAATGCTATGGCCAAGCCGTAGGTAGCTCTCAGCACTGAGAGGGGTGAGTAGGGCCAGCAGAAAGAGCTGGTTGTGTAGCAAATATATAAAGTTGACTGTGATCATTAATTTCTACCTCCTGATCCCCAAATCTTTTACCAGAACCACTCACAGGTTGCATAAATCATTGTTTGGAGCTCCACTTCCTCCAGCATCCCCACCCTCAGAGGTGCAGGCAGCTGCTAATGTGAAAAACATAGATTAGCATGCAGGAGGCAGGGCCTTCCGGCTGAGTGGAGACTTGCAGAACTGAGCACTGGCTGTATCCGGGCATCCAGGGGCCCAGAAGAGGGAATTGCATGGCGGTGAAGAGCAAGCTGGGAGCTCTGGAGTGTGAGTTCTACTTTCCAGCTGTATGATGGTGATCACTGACTTAACCTTTCTGATTTCCTCATTTGTCAAAGAGGAATAATTATACTGTTCTCACACTGCATTGGATGATTCCATGAGTATGATCTATTTATCCATGTTGGCTATTGCCATTAAGGACTTCCTTTCACCTTACTTTGCTGGCAATTAAATCTTTATTTTTTTTCCAGATGTTTCAAACTGGTCTCTGATCAGTGAAGGGGAATCCCAGGAGCCCTCAGTCCCCTTGAGGATGAGGATGTTGAGGGAGGCAGGTGTGGGAAGTAGGACCACTGCCTGTGCATAGGAGTCTCTGTCACTGCAAAAACAAGCTTTTCTTGTTTTTAAGCAGAATAGGGTTTAAATAAAAGCTTTGGAGATGTCTGAGATCTTTTGTCAGAAGCTTGTATGTGATAGGTTAAATAACCAAGTAGGGCATATGTGGAATGGGGCACTCCTTAGCTGAGTCATTGAAAGTTGAGGCACCAGAGTGGGCCCAGGCTGGAGGAGCACCAGGAATCTCTGCCCAAGGCCTGGGACTCCTGGCATATTCTACTCTGTTCCTTCATAGCAGCTGCCCTGCAGCTGGGCCTTCCATTGCACAGGACTGGAGGAGGGTGTTTTCAGGGTCAGGGCCATGGCCATTTGGGAAGCAACCAAGTTTCCTGTTAGATGTGAGAACCACTACAGCCAGCTCCAGCCACCTAGTCACCTTTGCCCTTAGTAACACAGCCTGGGCCTGTGCATCACAGGGCAGCCATCCATCACATGCTTGAACCCTCCAATGCGAGAAGCCAGTCTGGTGGGGCTGGTAGGGCACAGAAGGACTGTGCCTGTCCTGCCAGTCACAAAACAGCCCTTCCGGGGTTATGACCTCTCATCTTTGGGGGAAGTCTCCACCCCTCTCAGTCCTGTCTTGTTCCTGCAGGCCAGAGGTGCTGCAAACAGCAATTAAGAAGCACCAGACTGATAAGGCAGGTGGCAGATTGCTGCAATATTTCAAAATAGACAGGTGAAAACACGCTCCTCATCCAGGCAGCTGCTTCCAGGTCCTCCATCAGGACACTGGAGCACATAGCTTGGTGGTATCAACATTTCCCCTTCTCTAAAGACCCTCTCCCAGCTAGTGGGAAGCTTGAGCTGATGTCTGATATGATAGCCCTCTGATGTGTTATAAATGTTTATCTCTGACAGGCTCTGAGACTGTTTCCAAATAAGAAGAGGGAAAGCATGTGTACATTAACCTGCCCCTCCAAGAGGGCCTGCTTGTTTCCCAGGATGTTGGGCTGGTGCTTACCTAAGCTCAACTTGTCCTCTCTTCCTTTTTTCATCTATTGTGCATGCTGTTTTGTGTGTGAAGATGTGTCTGCCAGGAATTGTTTCTGGGGACAAGAGAAGGGAGGGGAGGGGAAAGGAGCTTTTTTTTTTTTCTTCTGGGACATTTTTCCTTTGCTGTTTGGTTTTGGGTGTCATTAATTACTCACTTTGGGTTATAATTCCATCCATGGTCAGATGACATGCCCTGGGGCTAGTTTAATTGGAAGCTGATGATGTGTTGTCCCAAGCCTGTTTCCACAGGGGAAAGTTGGGTTAGGATTCTTCCAGCTGCTACAAACACTGAGACTGGCCTTCTGCAGTACAGTGTGGGCCCACCCAGCCTGGCCTGTGTATTGTTCATAGCCTAGTAGCAGGTGTCAGACTTCTCGGTCCTCAGAGCTGTGCCCTGAGTGGTCAGGAACTCTCAAGGAGTGCTGTCCAGGACGCGCAGTGATGATGGTGGTGGGGTCTGGAAGGTCAAGCACTTTCCATCTTATCCTTCATTTTCCAACTTGTTAGAGCCAGGTTCTTGTTACAGCCAGTTCTGTTGCCTGAAACAGGAGCAAGAGTGGATGAGGGGAAGTAAGACATGCCCACTTGTGAAGATGGCACCACATTTTCACTCTTCCCCCTACAGCTGAAGCTCAAGTGGAAATGTATCCCAGACCAGAGAGCCCACCTGCATCCTTAACATCTTTTCCCACTTTGGGCTGACATGCTTCAGTGGCTTGGAGATCAGTGTTACAGCCCCAATTGCTGCCCTACCATGGGGATGCTGGATGCTCCTCAGATTTTCCCAGGAGGACAGCCAGTCAGCAGCAGGCCATTGAGCAAGCATGGAGGGAAAATGTGCAGCACAAGTGTATACCCCCAACACCAAGGGTGCATATAGGACTTTCCCTAGCACACAGGGAAAGTGTCCCTCCACCCGAGAAAATGACACAGGTATACATCAGCTTAAACAAATCCATGAGAAGATTTTGTAATCTGGACAGGCAACTGGGAAGATTCAGCTAATTGGAAGTAGCAGCAAAAACTTTCCCAAGAACGAGCAGGTCAAGCTAGAATGAGGGGCTGGAAGGTGGGTGAACAATGAGTATCTTTCTACTGATTGCTGAGGGTCTCACTCCAGGCACTGAGCTTGTCTCCATGCACCTGGAATGTTCAGCCTGGCTCTTGCTTCCCTGTGAGTTTCACATGGCCTAAAATGTGTCCTTAGAGGAATGTAAAGATTTGTCTGTTTCTTCACATCCCTGTCTGATGCTAATGTGAGAATGTGGAGAGCAGTGTTCTCTTTCTTGAGAGCTGGCTGGAAGGTATGTGGAACACAGTCTCATTTCTTTTTTTTTTTTGACTACTCCTTATTCATCTTCAGATTTACATCTTCATGGACTGATATGTGGGTACTCCCTGAAGTAGATGGGATGGTGCTTTTGGGCCTTGACAAAATGTTTTCTACTCTGTAAGAGTTCATGGCCTGTGTTGGGAGAGGATGGGACAGGGTCTAATGAGCACAAGAGCATTGGCTAGTGAGGGAAAGATCTGAATTCTGGGATCAACTTTGCCTCTTCACTTTGCTGTGTGACCCCTGACAAGTCCCTCTTCTTTGGCCTTTAGTTTTCCCATCTGGAAAGTGAATAGGTTGACCTCAGTTGTTACCAGGCTCTCTTTTCAGATCAGCCACCCTAGATTATTCTGACTTCCTCTTTTTGTTGTCTTCTCACATGATTTGGACCTGGAGGGCAGCCAACCTGACTGGGTGCTAGCCCTTATTTTGAGCTTTGTAGATGTCTTGTCTGCCTTATTCTGAGACATGCTTTCCTGTACATCAGACTTCGTGTCCTCATTGCTTCAGGGACAGTTATCTCATTAATTTATTCCTTAAATTTCTGTGGTCCTGCTTCTGTCCTCTCAGCTATCTCCAACCAGCACCTTCTCTGGGCCATCACAGTACAGTGGCTGTCCCTTCCATGAAGCAATCTCATTTTGTTCTCATGCCTTTCAGCATTACCTATAAAACCACACAGATGTAATTCCCATGGCCGGACAGCTCCTCCAAGAGCAGAGACCCAGGGAGCAGGTCTCTTTAAATATTGGCATCCTAATGAATTACAGCATTCCTAGTAAGTATCATCCTCCTTTCAGCAGTGACATTTATAACTTGGCATCTTATTTCATAAAAGGGTAACATCTGGACAAGTGCCCACATGACAGTGCAGGCTGAGCAGGACCTGTTGGCCTCCCTGAACTACAGGGTGTGTCCTCCACCTCAGTTTGGGTTGAAGGGTCACTTCGTGGTGAGTCACGTCTGCTTTCCTTCCTAGTCAGTACCTCATGTAGTGAAGCTCCCCACCCCCAAAAGCAGTGCCAACAACTTCAAGTGAGGCCTCCTTAAACAGTGCTTGGGGACTGAGGCATCTCAGAGTCCTGTTCTTAGACTGCATGGGACTCTGTCTTGGCTCATTCCCAGCCAGTTCCTAAGGGTAGGGAAAGTGCTTGGGTTTGTGGAAAGGCTCAGCAAGACAAGACTAGGGCCCTGTCAGTGAGGTAGCAGGGTCTATTCAGCATCTGATGTCCCACTTTGCCTTCCCAGCACATTCCCATCTTCAAAGAGTGCCCTCCGCAAGGGCAGTGAGCAGATGCAGAGCAGTGCAGAGGCCACAGCCCTGAGGGACAGAAGATGAGGTCATGATTTCTGACCAGGGTCTGTCCAGGCTCAGGGCAGGAGGCACCAAGGCTGCTGCTGCTGAGTAAATAGAACTTAGATGGCCAGGACAGCCCAGAGAGTACACATGACGTGTTGGGTTCTAGAAAGAACTTCCATTGGTTGACAGACTAATAAGTGAATGGCTTCTCTGGCCATCAGAAGTTTCTTCAGTTGCAGTGAAATTACCATAAATTCCTTGTGTTCTTCTACAATCTGCATGTCACCAGCTTATAGCTCTGCCCTAGAATATTTTTTGTCCCTCAAAGCCCCTTTTGCATGCTTCTGGGGCTTTTGCACTTCTGGGGCAGTGGCAGTGAGGCTGAAAACCACCTCCCTGAGTGACTATGATCAGAAGAGAATTAGGGTTTGCTGGAAGGAATGTGGCATGCTGGCCTTTCAAGTCAAGTCAGAGTTCTGAGCCCACTCCACCACACTTTCTTGTGTGATCTTGAACTAATTTAATCTTTCCAAGCCTCTGTTTCTTCATCTAAAAATGGGAATAATTCTGCTTAACATTGGGCAGTTGTACCTGTTGAAACTATTCTAGGAATTGTGTGGGGGAGGGGAGGAAGAGAATAATGGAGAGGATGAATTCAACTATGATATATTGACAGACTGGTAAATGTCGCAGTGTACACCCAGAACAATAATTGAAAAAAAAAAGTTTAAAAAAAGAAAAAGAACTGTAGGGAGGGAAAATGGGCAGTTGTGAGAAATAAGCTATTGCCTAGGCAACACTGAACAGTTAAAAACTACTAAAAAGGGGAGGTTGGTGCTTCGTGCAGCCATTGTTGATGTTGTTAGAACTTCCTGGGGCCACAAAGACAAGGTCTCCACTCTTTTCATAGCTTTGTCAACAACACAAAGCTGCTACCATGCGTTCTGGAAGGTGCCCATCTTCTCACTGAATGCCCCACCCCCACCCTCCTCATTCTCAAAACCCAGGATGATGTGCTTCCTCTGCTGGGGCTGATGTACCATTCTGTGCCCTTCTCGTTCTGTTCTCTTCTCATTAAAGCTCTTCCTTGTTATGCATAAGAGGTGTCTGAGACTCTGGATGTGGGAGCTGCAGTACAAGAGAGGGAAATGACTGGAGAAATGTGTGCCATGGGGTGTCCCCAGATCCAGCTGGCCGACCTTTGATGGCCCATCATGGCTCCTTGGTGGCTGCAACTTTCACTCCTGGCCATTCTTTCCTGGAACACAGTGTCCTTTTCTAAGGTCACCATCAGGGTCCATCCCCCTGTTACAAGGTTGCCCCTGAGGTACCTGTGGCTCTATTCTGTGGTCTGTATCTGCTCTCAACCCCTCAGCCTAGGACAGATTTCCAGGAGCCCAGCAAAGTCCTCATTAAGGCCTCCAGACATCCAGTCTCCCAGGTTATCAACTGATCCTGACTTCTGGGCTGCTGCTTTTGTTATTACTTTTAGGTGCAGGAAGGAAAGCAGTCGTTTTACTCCTCCTGTGTGAGAGTGGCAGTGGGAAGCCAGCTGGCAGGCAATGGAGCCCTCATGTGCCTGGGAAGACCCACCCACTTTCCCAAAACCTCTTACCACGAGGGCCGGAACAGCCTGGCACCCCTGTGCTTTCCTCTGGCCTAAGCAGCTGAAGTCTCATCTGCTGTAACTTTTTTCTTTTTGCTTTTCTAGAAGAGTTATGTAGAATGTCAACTAAGGTTTTGTTTCCGAATCACAAAGGAAAATAGAACAAGGAACAAATGAATCAGTTTTTCTTGAATTGTAGGCTGTGATTTCTTCATAAATTAATTTAGAGAATGGCTATTGGATTCCACAAACATCCCCAAGTGGCTGCCGGATGCCAAACCCTGGATGGATGGAGGCCAGATGGCCAAAGATGTGGTCCCTGTCTTCAGAGGGCTTCTGTGGGCAGCCTGTTCTCAGAGAGCTGTAAGATTCTGTAGCTGGGCAGGCAAGAAAAGACTATGTTCTAGAGTATTTCCAATCCTGCCCTCTCCAGTCCTGCCCACACTAGGGGCCCAAAACAACTCCTCCTCTTTCAGGAAGTTTTCCTTGACTGCTTCAAGTCTTAGTGAGTTTCCTGCTCTCCAGACTCTGGATTCCCAGCGCCTGAAAGGCATTTCCCCCATGTCTCAGCTTCACAGCCTCTTGAGGCACGTAATATCCTCCATATTTTAATAAAGCAACTGAGATTCGGAGAGGCAAAATAACTTTCCCAGGATCACAGGATTAATCTGCAGCAAAACTAGAACTGGAAACTCATGTGCTTCAATTCCCAGGCCAGGCCTTCTCCTCTGTACCAATTACTTTTCTTAATCATTTAACCCCACGCGTCCCCTCTCTGGAACCTTCATGGCTCTCTTCCAGTTCATATTTCAGACCTTTCCCTGTCACTATAATGATCTGCCTGCTCTCCCTGAGGGTAGGGCCCTAGCCTGTGTGATGTCTGGCCCCTTCCTGGCACTACACCTCAGGAGCTGGTCAGGCTCAGCTGGGCAAAGGATGAAGCAGTGAACTCAGCACATCGAAACCCCTTTGTGCCTTGCTAAACCGCCACTCTCCTCTTCTTACCTCAGACTGATTGGAGACAATGGAAACCAATACCTCATATATGCAGTTATTGGGAGACTGAATCACTAGGGCTCTTTTTGTCTTGTAGATGATGGATTGAAAACATGGCAGCAGGTGAAGTCTTTCTGCTGTTTTTCTCTCAATCTGTGTCTTGACAAGACACATACCTGACTTTGCAGAATGTACTAATAAGGGCCTAAGATGGTAATGTCTTTTATCTCTTTCTTCTGTGAGGCATTTACCACTGTGCCCCAAAGACAAAATACCGGGATGCTTTGAGTCTTATGTAGGGTGTCTGCAGAGTGTTTCATCAAAGATACTTTGGGTAGTGAAATGGTACACCTGGACAGAAGGCCTGGACAGGGAGCCTGTTGCCACCTGGTTTTAAATAGAACAGATGTCTTCAGTTGGAAGAAAACATGGATGGTTGTGAAGATTTCTAGTGCAGAGAGGGCTGCTGGTCATGGATGGGCCTTTGTTTCCAGTGGTAACTGCATTATTCCGCAACCACAGTAACAAGCTGGTGCCTTTCTCTGTGCTCTTTACTTCTGTCAATGGCTGAACCTCCCAGGATGTGTGCCTGTGTCTTATCGTCTTCTCTTCTTTTTCTTTTATTTTGCAATGGTGTCTTTCTAGCCCAGACTAAATGAGAACTCATGATCCTTCCTGCCTAAGCCCCCTCAGTAGCTGGGATGCCAGGCATGTACCACCACACCTGACCTTACTGTCTTTTTCATTTTCCTCCAGAGATCATGCGGATCATTCAGCTGGACCTTGACCTAAAATATAAGACCAACATCCGGGAGTTGTTTGAGGAGTTTGACAACTTCTTGCCAAGTGCTATCATTGGCATAGCTAGAGAGATGCAACCCGTGTACAGGTAGGTGGTGTCTGTCAGGGGTAGCCTCTGAGATCCCACCCTACTACTGTCCTCTCTTCTGCCACCACAGCTGCTTGGTTGTATCTGTGTGGAACCTTTCTGTGCTCAATCCTTGGGAGCGTAGGTGGACTGACTACTCAGTTGGTAGCACCGCAGGTGGGTCTGCTCCTGAGACGCTGCCTCCCTTAGTTTGGGGGAGTTTATGACATTTTTACTTCTGGAAAGCCTAGTTTTGTGATTGTAGGCTCTGAGTGAGCTCACAATTTTTAAATCTTAGACTTTGTCTGACAAAGGAGGCATCAGGATTTACCCTGTATTCTAGCGACCACTGGACTTTCTTGCCCCCCATTCACATGGCGCTATGAGACATAAGTGGAGGGGTTGGTCAGAGCAGCAGTGTGGAGGGAAAGGTAGCGCCTCCTGTGGACACAGATGCTGCCCAAGGTGAAGACACACTTTCAGCACGAAGCAGCATTTCCTTCTCAGTGTGTGTCACAGAGAAACTAGCACCTGGGAGCCAGGAGACATGATCAAGAACATTCTCTAGCATCCTTCGTAGTAGCCACAAACTGAAACAACCTGAATGTTCTAGACAGTAGAATGGATAAGTAAAATGTATTCATCCAATAAAAATGAGGAAGTGTTAGTGGTACGCAATGACAGGATAAACTAACAGGGAATCTTTGAGAATGCATATGCAAGTATGAAAATGATAGGAAAAGCTAAGATGTTCCTCAAAGCCAGCATCGGGGGTGGGCATGAGAGGGATGGTGTACACATTCCTTTGTATATAATATGTGTTTTACAGTTTAAAAGAAGAGAAAGGAATAGCAGAAGCAGGTTTTTGTTAAAAACAAAACAAAACAAAACAAAAAAAAAACTGAGAATTCCATGTTGCTGACCCATCCTCCAGCAGCTAGAGTGACAGCTCCCCCAGCTCCAGCACTGACCAAGTTTGCTCAGAAAGAGCTGGGATTCCACTGACCCTAGGGCTTGCTTGTGTGCTCCATGAAATCCCCAAGGCTGGCTCCCTGAGGAAATCCTGGAGTGAGGCCCAGTCACTGGAGAGCTGTGTGAGTTTCTCCTCAGAGGGCTGGGGAACAAGAGACAGCCTCTATTTGATGGTGGCTCTTTGCTAGTCCAAGATCACATAACAGGAAATTCCTGCAAGGCATTGAATGAGCTGATAACTCTTGGGGTCTTGTGGGCTGTTCTCTCTTACATAATCTACTCAGGGTGCCCCAGAGTCTCTGGCATGGGGGATCATGACCATAGCAGACTCCCACTTCCTTCCTTCACCTTCCAACAAAGCTGTCGTATGCTGTGATCCTTGTTTCAACAAGGGAGGTGACAAAAGGAGCATTAAACACAAAATCCTAGATGCTAGTCCCAGCTCTGCCATGACACCGAGAGCCTTGGTGGCCCTCTATGAAGGGGTGTAGATAAGCTTCAGGACCTCCCTCTCCAACTGTGGCTTTGGTGGTCATAGCCCTGCCAACCCTGCTTGTCTTCCCTCCATCTGGAAGCTGCTTATCTGTGGTGAGCTCCCTTGTGCTACCAGACCCTGGGACATTTACACTGGGCTGATTAACAAATGCAGTTAGTTAGAGCAGTGATGCCTTCAAGCCCTGATGTGGAATTTTCCTGTGTAATGCCCGTGGAAATCTGGGTGTTTCACCTCATTTAATTTAGATAATCTTGACCAGAATTTATATGTTCTGTAAATCAAGAATTTTATAACAGAGCAACTTAAGTCAGTTTAATTTCTTGGCCTTCCCAAAAGAAACATCTGAATGATTATAGATTCAAAATGAAAATGTTTTCTCACCCTTTGATTTTTCACTTTCCATTATGTCCAGTGAGAATCATGAGACCCCCCCCACTCCTCTACCACCGCCACCACCACTGGTTGAATCTAAGAATGTCATTTGCAGGACCTGAGCACTCAGAGCCCACAGACATTTAAGCTCCTTTTCGTGTTCCCTCCATCCCCCCTCCCCCCAGTAGAAATGTTGCTAAAGACTTCTAATAATGAAGGCTGTGAATGCCCACCCTGCTGGCTCTGGGGAATCTGCTGGTGTTGGCTAGTGGCAGACAAGGAACAGAGCATGGTTTTTGCTTCTTCCACAGGAAAACTAGAGACCCCAGTGACCTGGAAAGACAGTGTTAGTCCTCTGCTACTTAGGAGTCTTCACCTGGCAGGGCTATGGGGCGAGGATGAAGGAAGAAAGAGATGGGAAGGGAGAGAGTGAACAGTGTCCACGGTGTCCACGCATAGACAGGTGGAGCTGGGCTTTTCTCCTGAACAGGCAGTCTTGGCCTCCTTGAACGTGACTGTCACAGTTTATGGGGGACCTGCAGATCAACCATTTGCCCTAATTATTGCCTGCAGAAGCAGCCACTCGCCACCCCAAGTATTCCCACAATCAAGGATCTGCCAAATGACCCAGTGTGACATTGACTAGTTATTTATCATAAGTAGCATCTGCTAACATCTAAGAGAAAAAGAAGATTAAGAACAAAGCCAGGCAGCATAAAGCACAACCTGACTGGTCAAGCCAGTGTATCTTGGTCTGGAAATTCACTAAGCAGGAATAGGATTGGATCTCTCAGCTGTGTCGTTTTTATCATCACTTGTCTCATAGTTACTATACTTCAAAGGGCACATGTTGAGTCATTTCATGGTGGTTTCCCCTCTATTGTGTGCCACAAATGTTCCCAGCTTGGAGGAGGGTGGGGCAGAAGTGTTTTCCACTGTCCATTTGACAGATGACTTTTTTTTTTTTTTTTTTTTTTTTTTACAATTTCTGTTTCCCCAAACGTTCATCAAACTAGCTATTTTTCTGGACAATGACACGGGGATCATGAGATGTTAGAATAGTGGTAGAGAATGTCTCTTGGGTCTCTGTGACTATCCTGTGGAGCCAAGCCTTCTGTGGCCTTCCTCATTTGAAAATTGGGGTATCTGGTCATCTTGGGTAGAACACTGCCTTTATTCACTTTGACCCTTTTTCTGGCTCTTCCAACTAGACCCCTAGACAGGTCCTGTGTGATGATGTTGATTGGGTTAAGTGACCAAAAGAAAAGACGTTAATACCATGTGTTTTATAAATGTGCCTTGTGAACGTGCTTCCTTATGAATATAATAGAAAAGTCAAGAAAGCTGGTGAATGCTCTTTATATGCAGCTTAAGGTCACCAGCAGGTAAGGCAGCTTGAAGTATAGGAAATGGTGCCAGGTTGGACACAGAAGCAAATTAGCCTTGGGACATAATACAAGTCACTTGATTCTGTATATATGGAATGCACACAATAACTAACAAACTCAGGTGAAGCAATGTACCTGGAAGTTTCTGGTGTGAGACACCCCAATAAAGAGTGCTTCTTCTCTCCCTTAATCCTTCTATGTTTGTCCTTCTGGACTCCTGCTCCACCTTAACCCCACCACACAGGCCAGTTAAAGGTATAGGACACCAGTGACGTGGAACTTGAGATAAACAACAGATATTATCTTGTGTAATAAGTGTGTTCCAGGTACTGCACTGGACATACTTAGTAAGCAGTTATTTATTATCTGGAAGTTAAATTTAACAGATTATCCTGTTTGTTTTTCCTAAATCTGGCAGCCCTGCCCCTATCCAGGTTTTAAAACTACCCCTTTCAGCAGAAGCAAGTGATCTGGCTTTCCTACAGGAACGTTGAGGAAGCAGGAACAAAGGGAAAGTGGAGCTTGGGCAGGAAACCTGGCCAGGGGTAGAAGGCTGCCCTCAAAGTGTCCTGAGGCCACCCTGCTGAGGTATACCACCCTATCCCAGCCAGGAGCCAACCAGGGAGGCTATGGGAGCAGGAAGCCTTTCAATGGCTTGGCTATTGACCCTAGAGACTAAGGGACAGAAAGAGGAGGAGCCAGGTTACAGCCATGGGTTATGGTCACTGGGCCCTGGGGCTGGATGCCTGAGGAGCCTCTGAATGGTGGCTTTGTTGGTGGGGTTGCAGTTGTGTTCTCCATCCTCAGGCTGTGTGCTGGAGTGAGCCCAGACCCACCACGAGGCTGGAGCAGCAGGAGGATCCTGTCAGCTGCTGCTAACTCACCACTAGGCAGGAATTTGCTTTTGTGTTCAGTATTTTAATACTGTCCATTCTTTCACCTTCTTGGGTCACAGGGCCTTTTTTATTGCTAGTGCTATGCCAGCCTAGCTTCTGTCCAGATTCATTAAATGAAAATGTCTGTCCAGGTTCTCTGCACCTACCTATCCCATTCCTAAGATTGGAGTAGGGTTCTTGGGAATGCTGGGGAGAAAGGGAGGATGTGAACTGACACTCACCTACTGCCACTCTGTTGCTGTGTGATCTTGGGCAAGTCTCTCAGCCTCACTGCAAAATGGAGATTATAACACTGTGTACAGCAGAATTGGTGAGGGATTAAATGAGATTACATATTCATCATCCATGGCATAGAGCAGCACTCAGTAGCGGTGACAGCAATGTTATCCAGAGTCCTAGCTCAGCCACTGATTAGTTCTGTGACCCTAGAGAAGTCATTTAAACTTTGAGCTTCAGTTTCCTTATATGTAAAGTCATGGCTACTGGTAACATAGTTAGTGCTAATATTTGGGCTTCTCAGCTTCTGAGCCCCTTCCCTATCTTTGAGGACATCCCTGCCATAGGAGCCTGCCCCCTATTTTGGGAGACTAGAAAGCTGGTTGCTATATTTCCAGGCTTACTTGCAGCTAGCGAGGGTGTGGAGCTGTGGTGGGTACTGTCCCCCCCAACACTTCCCTGAGGAAATCACCTTCGTGAATTGCTGTCTGTACATGGCAGCGTTTATGTTCTTACTATATATACTGTAAGCAATGTAAGAATTTGCAAAGAAACTGACAGTGCAATGGGGAGAAAATAACTAGTTTCTAATAACAGAAGGAGAGTTTAATATTTCAAGAGAATATTGGAAACCTAGAGATTGAAAGAGGGGGAGGTGTGCAGTGTAGTCACAGAAGAGGA